CTTCATATTCCTCCCTTACGCGAGCGGCTTCCCTTGCAGCCAAATCCTGGGCACGAGAGAAGTTGGCATCGATTTCCTCTCTGATACGGGCAGCCTCCGCCTCTGCCGCCGCAGCCCTAGATTCGGCCCTGCGAAGTTCCGCATTACTCGCACCCGCCGCCTCGCTCATGACGCGAATACCCTGTAAATCGGAAAATCATGCTTAAAAAAAAAAATTTTTTAGTGGCCAAAGGACTAACGAACCTTGTTTAAGAGCCGCGACGCCTTCGCAAACGGCGTGTCGGCCGGCCCTCGAGTTGATGTCTCGGTTGGACCAAATTCGGAGTCCGAAAAGTTAATAAGATCTTCAATATCAATGTCATAGTCAAACGCTCGACCGTGACCGATCGGGATTTCTCTATCCTGCGGAGATCTAGCTCTCTCCCTCTCATNGAGTTGATGTCTCGGTTGGACCAAATTCGGAGTCCGAAAAGTTAATAAGATCTTCAATATCAATGTCATAGTCAAACGCTCGACCGTGACCGATCGGGATTTCTCTATCCTGCGGAGATCTAGCTCTCTCCCTCTCATCCGCATCATCGCCAACCTCGGTACGACTGTCGCGAGAAAAACCGGATGAATAGTAGGCAACAGCGCGACGAACCCTCTTGGGAGAAAAGTATCCCCAATGAACCAGGCCGCCGCGGAGAAGATTCATGACCTCCGGGAAATCATCAAGCAGCGGCCTGGCAAGGGTAGGCACTGTAAAACAAGCTGAAAAAGTCAAAATCTATACGTATACAGGTATAGAGATCACGTCAATAAAATACCAGTTGTCGCCCACACAGCCTTGAACAAAGGAACGCAGCCTTCCTCCACAGACGCGTCATCGATTTTGACGAAGAAGAATCGTTTGATCCAGTCATGTCCATTCGAGGCAAGCCCACCGATGACCGTCATGTCTCGCCGAGGGGCTAGATAAAAGCCGTCCTCTCTTCCCTTGAACGTCAACATGGCCGAAAGATAGTCCGCATTAAGGGACATCCCGCGTTCATAACCTAATACCAAATTCCCGACAAGGTGTTGTAATCCACCAGGGCGAAGTTGGCCAAGCGGTACGCCAAATCTGTCCAGGAATTCAACGATGGCTCGAGGAATGGGGAACCATAGTTGGCTGTTCAGCAGAAAAGCTTCATAACACGAAAAATAACCCGGGGGCGGATTCCTGACATCCTGGCCTGAGACGGGAAGACGAAACTGGACTGACTC